AGGGAAGGGGAAGCCAAAAGGGGAGCCCTGCCCAGCGTCGAACGCATGTCGCTTAGCTGGGAATCTGTGACGGTGCCCACTTGGCCAGAGCGGTTACCTGAGGGAGACAAGGCGAACGGCGAGTCCCAATCGGCCGGCTGCTTGCGCGACTTAGGCACCCACGAGGGTGACTACGAATTTTAACTATCTGTAGCAGTGAGGTGCTTGTGCACGACCATGCGTCGCTCAGCTAGGAAGAACTGACAAAACGAAGGGCCTTCAAGTGTGCTTGAAATCTACGACGAAGCTTCGTTGTCGAGACAGAAGGGCTCAACGCATGGGATGAATTTAAACTCGAGTGCAGCGGCACTAAGGCCCCACGCCGTGAGGGTTTGTGTTGTTTTGTTAAACGCTATGCGCACCGCGACCAGCCGCCCCAGCCTGGGCCGCGGACTTGTACAAAGACGGTTACGGCGGAACAGGTGTTGTGGTGGTTGTGGACACCGCGGCTGGGTTCGCCGGGCAGGTGTTAAAGATTTTTGCAGTCCTAAGCCGGGCTTGCAACGGGTAGCTGTTTGTGGAGGGCAGGTGGCTGTTCTCACCGTCAAGGCGAAGCTTGGGGGGAGACCGACTGTGCCTGTCGCTGGTTGCACCTCCCGCTCACTCGGTCCGCCGGCCCTTAGTCAGTGGAATGTAAAGGGTGCGACGCGGAAAGCGGGAGAGGTCCCCCCCTCAATAAAGCATTCCGGTAACCCTGAAAAGAAGAAGAATGCGGGGAACAAGAAAGCGGAAATGGAGGGAGCGGGCTGGGTGGAGGGGGTGGTATGAGAAATATATCGTGCGTTGCCCACCGTTGTTTACGTTCGCTTGTGTTTATCGCTCTTCGTTCCGATTTTAACACGTTTTAATAGTAAAGGTATGGTGTCAGGGTCGATATATGTGTGCCGAGAAGATTTTAGTCGCTAGAGAACATTTACGATTGAAATTTCTGACCGAGTTTGTGATTTTTACGCCAGATGTTGTACATTTTGACTGGTTTAACCTGCCTCCCATGTGTTTTCATTCTCTGTTACATTCAAACAAGCTTTTCCTTGACAATTTTCGATTTTCATTGATTAATCCTCAAGTCTTGTTGTCTTTTATTTCATCACTGTTTCACAAGGAGAACAAGGAGTCGTAACCGTCAACATTACTTTCATTTGATTCATGCTTTTGGATCTCTGGCTTATTTGTGTTTCGTAATGTGGCAACTTTGAGTCTACCGCACTTAACACGAGATATTATTTTTTATAATAATACATTTTTTACTTAATTTTTATTTGTTAGGACTGCTGGGTGACCAAGTTACAATGGGATCACTGACAACTTCATATTGGGACAATTCAATGGAGCCAACTCCCCTAGTTTGTCTTTATTCATCCCCGTTATGCTCAGAGTTTAAACACCATGCTGATGGAGGTTTAGAAAATTTAGGCAACACATGCTTCATGAATTCAACTCTTCAGGTATCAATATTTTATTAGAAACCTTTTATCTGGTTGTATTTCTTTTAAATGAACTTAATGAATTTAATTCTTTTAAAATACTAACTTTTTACTGTATCAAGGCTCTTTTTCACATTCCAAAATTCACAAACTGGCTCCTCTCTGACAACGTTCACTTTGAACAATGTGGAAAATGCATTCTATGTGCACTTTCCTTCACTTTTCGAAGTTACCTGACAACTAGTGTAGTTTGTCCCATACATTTGTGTCATTTCCTTCAAGGTACATACTGTTTCCCTTTCCTGTTTTGTTTACTTAGTTTGACGATGTGTTTGTCTAGTTTTTTTACCCCTCATATTTGACTTCTCTTATTTTATTGGTTCATGTTTAATGGTTTTGTGCAGACTTGCATTTAAATTGGGGTTTGCAAGAAGATGCCAATGAGTTTCTTCTTGCCCTGCTTGAAATGATTGTGGAAAATTATGTAGATCGCTTTCCAGAACTAAAGTAAGTGGAATTTTGAAGTATTATTATCACGGTCGTCTCATTAATCTCTTCCTTTCCTTTGCAGAAGAACTTTAGATTACTGCAGCAAAAGGACAACACCTATCAATGCTGTTTTTGGATTCTGGGTTCAGACTGAAGGTATACATGCAATTTGTTTGTGAAACTGTTCTGAAGTTATGATGCATAGATTCATTTTCTATTCCTTTCAAGTTGAGTGCTGTGAAATATCTTGTAAGTATGTTTCCACTACCTATATGCATATGCAAGAGTTGCAAGTTGGTCTCTCTGGAAGCATACAGGAGAGCATCAACAACTACTTTCTAGATGAGGAACTTCTGATCAAATGCTCCAAATGCAAGAAGGAAAATGTTTGCAGACGCAGTGAGAAAGTACATGTGAGTCCAGAAGTACTCATTGTACAACTTAAAAGGTAGGTTATTCTTATGGCCCTAAATATTTATGTATACAAGTAATTTATAATTATTTATTTAGCCTTCTTTTTTCTTTAGGTTTAACAACTCTCTGCTAAAGGTAACAGAAAGTGTAGAAATTGACTGGAATGTCTCTGTGGGTGGGAGCCCGTACTACCTCTGCAGTGTGATTGTGCACTTTGGTGAAACTCTGAAAAATGGACACTACATGGCCTATACACAGTGCCCTGACGGCTCATGGACTCTCTTCAATGATGATCTGGTATTAAACATCTCAATGAATTTTAAGGAAATAGTAAAACTTTGGTTCGGAACATTCTTAAACTTGAGCCGTTTCTTATCCTGACAGGTTTCTCATAACAAACAATCTGACATCAATCTTGAGACAATAAAAACACAATGCTACATTTTATTGTACCAAAAGGAGTCTACTCTCTTCTCACCTCTTCGTAGTGTGCAGCCATTTCTTGTCTCCCCAATTTTTAGCAAGCCAGTAAGTAGAGCAATATATATGTATTTTACTGTCAGTTTTCTTGACCCCTTTTTTTATGAATGGCTTCAATTGTTTGTTTGTTTTCTTCCAGGAGACCAGGAGATCTCCTGTTTCTGCTCAGTCTTCACTATCCTCACTTGAATCCCAGCATGTTGAGAAAATTGTGATTCAGAAAAGAAAGCGTGCCTCTCCAGAAGTAAGTTTATTTTAGCTATGATGCTGTTATGGTATTACATCTTTCACACTTGTGCAAGATTGTATTTTCAGGTCCGTTCCTGTGAATCAGCTCATGTTTACAAAATTAAGCATTCACCTCTTCCAAAATTGAAAATAAAGAGGAAGAAACGCATTTCTAAGGTGAGCATTTTTTTTTAGTTTTGTTCAGTACTATTTCCCGATTATTGTGTGTTTTTTTATGTGTTTTTTTTTTTTAGGCATACTCCACTCAATCCTCACTTGTTTGGGTGATTGATGGAAAGGAAAGTAAAATCATTGGACCTCCTTCTGTAAAATCACTATCACCAATTCCAAAATTGACAATAATTAAGAGGACTTCTTCTAAGGCATGTGTATCTAAAAAAAAATATTTTGTCTTTCCTGTTGCTTTATGTAAGAATCTGATTTAATATTCAAACTTGCAGGAGTCAAAAGTAGATTTTGTAATAAAAAATGGGGGAAATTTGGACCAAGGCAAAGGTGATCTGTCTAAGGTGAGTGCTAAATGGAAAATGCATTGATACTGAACATTTTGTGTTTTTACAATAACTACTTCTTTGTATCAGGATTTCAATTTTGGAGATGGTCACAATGCAATGGAGAATGATCAATCTGAGGTACGCTACTATAATTTCAATATCACATATCACACCTGAGTTGTTGAAAAATTATGCAAATAATCTGCATTTGGTTCTAAGAAATATTTCCTCACTTCCACTTTTGATCTCTAGGACCTCTTTGGATCTTGTAGTGATCTAGTTCCTGATGCTCACAAAACAGATTCCAACAATCTACTCAGACCGGTCTGTATGATAGTACTCAGTCTGTAAGTAAAAGGTCCTTACCATACTGTTCAATAAGTTCTAATATGTTATATCTATCTATCTAGGAAAAGCCTGTTTGGGAAGTGGAACTCTTTGAGAATGAAGTCAATGGAGCTCTCCTACCTAAGAAACCTATTGAAGCTAATAACAGATATGCATTAGAGAGATGGCTTCATTGCAGGGGAATACCATGTGCTGGCGGTAATAAACAACACCTTGTACATTTGTGAGTATCTTAATGTTGACAAAAAAAGTGAAACATCACATTTTACAATATCACATAACTATAAAGTATACATTATTTACAGAGTAGAAGCTCGCATTGCTCAAGGAAACTCTCATATTTTAGATTTAAGATTGGACAATGGTCTTCCATATCGCATGAAGTTACAAAGAATGGTAAAGATTTTTCTATAAATTACTAAATATACCCAAGAACCGATCATTCTTTAAACAATTTAAATATAATTAGCTGATTGTGTTAAATATGTAATAACATAAAACTTTTCTTCAAGTTTCCACAGCAGGATTCTACAAAATTCTCGTTACCAAAAGATGGATGGGGGCCTTTTGTCAGTGTTGCAATTCCAAGACTATTTAACTATGGCCATATTTATAGATACCTAATAGAATCTGCACCTCAGCTCCCAATTCCTTCTAATGCCTGTTCTCAAGAAGACATTTTTGAAGAAATGGAAAGTGATGAGGTGGATGAAGAAGTAGATAATAATTTTGGTGACCCATTTGACGATTCTGAATGCCCCTGTATATTGGACCAAAAGCCATTAATGAGAGGAATGAAATATCTTAAAAGTAGGCATGTTCACAGCTTGAAGGATACAATGGCTGATAATATTTATTTTCTGACTGCATCGGTAGCTCCCTCAATGCCAGGAAATGACAGATCAGTAGGAGTACTGATCTCTTCGATCTCTGGTAGTGTGCAGGATGCATTTTGCAACTGCAAAGCAAGTGCACTAGGCCGCTGTAGTCATGTTGCAGCTGTGCTGCTTTATATTTTAATGCATGTCAAGCTCAATGGTTATGATGGTAGGTGTTGAACAGTACTTATCTAACTATCCTTACTAATATTTTTCCTTGCAGCTCTCTTTTTTACAGGTGATTTGAATGTTTTCTTTCTTTTCCTTCCATCCTTGATGACATTGGGAGGGTTGAAGTTTATCAGAAAAGCACACACATAAACCAGATCTTCTAAGTAAGGAATCATCTTGTTTGGTATGGTATACCTGAGGAGGCGATATTGTTTTATATTTTTAATTATATGCTCCACATATATTCTTGCCTTGGCGATTGCTTTTGTTAAGACTATTTCCTTGGGAGTCATTGTTTGATTCTTTGAGAGGGATGGTGGGCGTATGAGGCTTATATTTTTCAATGTGCATTCTGCTTTAAGATCAAAGCCTCTATCAACCATGAGAGCGTCTCCTGGAGACAGCATTTCAAGCAACTCACTCTTCACAACCGCTTGCTTGTCTGATATGGACCCCTCGTAGGCTTTGCTTACAAAAGCAACACCTCCTTGCAAATTGATGCCGATGATAAAATGAGCTGTATTGCCACCCTTGTATTCAGAGTATGTGTTGCCCTGTTGTTGGAAATCTGTAGGCCGTTGCAGTCTGAATTCTGCACCATCAATAATAAGCCTGAGATTTTTGAACGGGCGAAACACTTTAGGCTTATTTTTTTGCTGCTGTTCAACAGTGGGCAGCATGCGTTCCTTAAAAATCTGGAATGTTAGATACATGTGCCGTATCATAGCATAAAATATTTCAGATGCCTGTGTCTTACCAATGCCCATTACTTCTGCCAAGTCTCTAAGGGGTATACCTCTTCTTAACCTGATGAGGGTTAAGAAAAGACGGTCTTTCAGTGGTAGTTTAAATTTGTTCTCATTTTTATCTGGCGTTGATAGTTTGTATTCCATTTTCAATTTACTGATGACCTCGTCCCCTCCGAGTAGGTTGTACAAGGCTGTAAAGTTTTGTTGAGTGACTCCAGTGAAAAAATAGAAGTCTTCTTTCTTCTTTTTCCAACACCTCTTCAGGGAGACAACGGGTTGATTGGTTGGGGACTCTTCTACGGTTCTGGAAGTAGCAGAGGTAGAGGTGAAGGTATTGGTGGCAGAGGGAGTGGGAGTAACAGAGCTGATAGTGTTGGTGGCGGTATTTACAGGAGTTGATTCATCCTAGAAAAGAAAAATGGTAATTATTGAACAGGTAGGATTAAAAATACAATAACACATTAAAAGTGCACAACTAAACAACACAAATATCTTAGAATAAACTTCTACACGAGTATGTTGAAAATCAAGTAAGTTTACTCAAAGCAAAGATGAAATCTTGTGAGCTATTTGTGTGTAATATTTGTAATGTTGCAGATGTAAAAGGGAGATCATAAAGAAGTGAATATTATTATTGTTAATTTTTGTTTTTTTTCAGTTGTATCCTGCACCTCCAAGCCATGTGCCTGGAACAAAGGCTCCAAAAAGAAGGACCCAGGTGAGATGAAAGAAAAGGAGTACCCTTCACTTATCTATAATACAAGACGGCGAGCAACATTCGACCCACAGCCAACTTTCTTTAAGAAGAGACTTCAAGAAACACCCTCAAAACTAATTGATGACTTCCTTTCTGAACTTAGTGCAAATGAAAATGGTACATTATGGTCAACGTCACTGAAAATTCCTTATGGTGACTTCGACCTTTCCCAGGAATATTTGAGTGTCTACCCCGTGTTGCACCAGCAATTTCTCGACAGTTTGAGAGGACTTATCCCTTTAGTCACAGTTACACCGTACAATGAGTTTCTTGGTACAATAAGGCAACATGAGAGTGAGGAGTGGCACACTCTTCGTCACTTATTCATAACAGCCTCAGTTTCAAAGGTTGCTTACAACTTGACACCCAGGGGTGCTAAAAATTATATAGCATCTCATTTATGGGGACTAAACAAAATGGATGAAGATGATACTCCTCTTGCAATAGAATATGGTAGACAAAATGAAAATATTGCTAGAAAATTGTATGAAGAAGAAATGAAAATTAGAGACCCGACAGCCTCAGTCCTTCAAATGGGACTAACCCAATCGAAGCAGTACCATGAGCTGGCCTGCAGTCCTGATGGAGTTCTTGAATCAAAAGTGAACCCAAAGAGAGCTATTGAGATAAAGTGTCCAATTAGACTTCAAAAAGTGCATCCAAAGTTGTTTGACCAATATCTCAAAGGCAAAAAGCTAGATGATTTTTACTTATATAGAGACGCTTTTGGTAAAATTAGATTAAAAAATGACCATAGTTATTATTACCAAATCCAAATGGTTCTTGGAATACTCCATCTTGAACAGTGTGATCTGATAGTTTGGTCACCAAAAGGAATTATTACTATTCCTATAAATTTTGATAAATTATTTTGGAGTGATTTAGCGGAAGGTCTGGTTAGTAATCATCACAGTCTATTGATTCCAGAATATTTTTTGATGAGGACCCCTCGGAACTTAGATGTCTTGATTTTGGACATTGTCTAGAAAAACATCTTTACAGTATTACTTACAGAGGTGAGCAAATTAATTAGAGATGTATTTTCCTGTCCATCAATCGTGAGAGCTAAACTATTTTCTTTGTTTCCATTATCATACAGCTTCCTCCTCACTTTAAACATGGCTGAATCCTGCCATGCAACAAACAAAGTATGGTATTAATGCATATCAGGTACAGTATTAAGGCAGTTTCTGCCAGCAGCTCTGCAACTTAGGGTAAGCTTACCTGTGTTGTAGGAGTACTAGAGCTGTCCAGAATTGGAGACACTGTCCAATTCTTTTCAACAGATGTGACAGGTTTGATTGGAGTTGATTCCTAAAAAATGTGTTAACACTCTCTTATAAATTTGAATAATTTTAAATA